AATTGCGATGCGCAATACCAATGTGGACCATGATTCACAGTGAAGTGAACCTTGATCAATTCAGTCATTGTAACTGAAGCGGGAGCAAAGAAATGCTGGGTGTTGCATGTTCGCAATGTTGCCCCGTGTTGCGAGCGGGTAACAGCTATCTCGCATATTCTAAGGTGGTCTACATAGATCTCAGGGAAAAACAATATCTTACCCGACGTCAATATTGCAGCCTTGAACCTCACTGGTATTCCATTACATACAGCGGGGTTCAAGGTGAAAACCAGGGGACCGAATCCATGCGACACTCATCATAATCAGTACACGCTGGCTGAAGGCAATACACACAGGTCAGCCATTGTGCCGCAATACAATAAGATGCATGAAAAGGTGAAATACTAAACATTAAGAGTGCAAAAACTAAAAAACACAAGTGACAGAATGATAAGTATCATATTTTCTATGGAGTGCGAGATCGTCATTGGAAGGGGAAGTTAAGCGAGAATGACAAAGAAACCCCAACACAGATGTTATTTAAGTCGGCTCTTCGCCATGTCAACTAGTGTATCCAACCAGACGCGTTCATAGCTCTCCGGACCCCAGCATGGCAGTTGGGAGACACCAACTGACGCCAAATTTAAAGTGACGAAGTTATCGCTTGGACTCCCATTTTTCTATCCACACACCCGGCGCGCAAACAACACACGTCGCGGGAGTCGGTGTGCTGGAATGCACAACACGTGGCCCAGCCATCGGAGCCTAGTGCGTAAAATAATGGTGCTAAGCGGTTCACTCGCTCTTCCTGCACTACATACACGAAGCCAAACACGATCATTGCTCATGCGCTGTTCCCACTAGACATGAGCTAAGCTGCGAAGGCAGCGTAGTTGAACGCAACCAGCCTCTGTCGATCTGATAGGCCAGGATCCGTAACCGCAAAGGAGAGTTGACCAGAAGGCTGCATAGTGAAAGTGATGTCGCGCCGGCATTACAGGTGGAGGAGACTGGCAAAAGCACTTCGAGCTTTTGCTATACGGCCGGCGATCTCATCTTCTCTTCCACAGGCACTAATATAGCTCAACTAATTCATCATCGTCACTCCCAATCAGCAGGCTTAGGTTAGTCTAGAAAAGCACCAGACGCCGGCGTTTCGATCTTCTGGGTCTCGTCAATAATGCGACTCCCAGCAGACCCCTGCCGGGTTCCGCCGCCCTGAGTTCAGGTTGACAGCAGCTAGCGCCACTTCGCCATGGGTGACAGCCACGGACCTGCGTGATTGACAGTTGACTATGATATAGTCCGGCTCATCTTCCACTGCCATGCCAATTACGAACTGTGCAGAGGACAATGGCTAGCCTCACGAGCTAGGACTAATAGAGCTGCCTAGATACTTGAAGCTCTGAACAATTTCTAGCTAATCCCTACCAACAGTCAGCGCACGACGGGTCCATGCCAATCTTGGAGTAGGACTGCATCTCGAGAGTGCAAAGCATAGCGTAAAGGGAATGACAGCAAGTGCTAATCTCTCTACTGCTGCACGACACGTTTAGGAGCTGTCACAAATTAGGTCAAAGAAGTCAGCGAACTCCAAGTTAAGGAGTACCACGCCTGGAAGTAGCTCCACACTTTGTACATTATGTCCAGTGAATCCCGTTTCCGTGACGAAGTCAAAAAGGGAAGGTGACAGCAGGCAACCTTGTATCACACCACTGGAGAGATTGAAGGGCGGTGAGATTTTGCCACTACCCTCACTTTACCCGAACTTGGTGCTTACGACGCTCTTATGACGTTTACACATTTATCGGCTATGTGCTTCTTGAGTAGATAGTCCCAAAGGCCACACTGATCGACTGAGTAGAAGGCACCTTTGACGTCGAGGAACACGACTACGGTGGGTCGCAAATAAATATGGCAATGTTTCAACAACTGGTGTAATGGAGAGATGTGGTCAATGCAACCTCGATTTCGACGGAACCCAGTTTGCTCTTAACGAATCTGGGTTTCACGGTTGTCAGCCAATCTGAGGAAAAGGACGGATGCACGTGATTGAGATCAGAATGATTCCTCTAACTGCTGCATTCAGAACGGAAGCATCTCTCGAAAACTGGGACTATGAAGGAGCGGTTACAGTCCGCTGTGACAGTCTCCAGCTTCCACAGTCGCACTATTAAGTCGTGGAAAACATTTACAGGAGCAAGTCCTCCGAGCTTGAAAAAAAACTGAAAGAAGTTCATCCGCTCCTTTAGCCTTATTCAATTTCAACAGTCTGACCCGAGGGGAGGGCTCATGGAGAAGGGCGATCAATGGCAAACAAGGAAGCTAGTAAGTTTGGCTAATCAAACTGCTCCTGAAAGTGTACGGTCCAAGCGGTTTGACAAGCTGTGGATCAGCTATCCACTCTCATAGCCTACTGTCTCGCTAACACAAGTCTTCTGCTGCCTATTTATCGTATCAGACGGAATAACTTACGATGATTACCAACGGCAGCGGCTGTTTCCATTTCCGATGCACGATGAGATCACCAGACTTCGCGGTTTCTCTACAGGTTGGCACGCAGTTTTGCCCTAAGATTTTTGCGAGTCTCATTATTTTCGCTTCCAGCCGGAGCACGTCGGCAAGCATCTAAAAGAGACTGCGTAAAAACCCGATGACCAAGTTGGAAATTTGATTTGCCACATGGAGACATGTCTGCTGTTAATAACGACTGGCGGATATGCGACCAGTGATCTTCAGTTGTGGTCAATGAGCGCTTACTCAACCCGCATGACAGTGAGGCACTTTGATATGCAGCAGAACATCTGGCTTCGCCAGTTAGTGGATGTCAATGCACTCGCAACGTCGCTGCGGACATCCACCTAAAAGCATCCGCAGATCAGCACATACAAGTGCGTGATAGGAATCTATGCTCGTGTTCCAAAATGAGTGGCAGTTTTGGACAGGGCCACTCCAACGGTAACTGAGCTCAATGTGATCGGTATGCGCTCATGGCTGGCTGGAGGCGTGGACGCCTTGTCATCCTCCGGCAAGTGCTGTGTCGTAAGTTAGTATTCGCGAGAAATAGACGAACATCTGCACACAGGTGTACCAACCAGTCACCGGTGTCAGTACGGGGGCCACGCCAGGTTACCCACTCATATGCAGTTCATCGCACGGCATTTTTCCAACTGGAACATTCAGATCAACAAGCACTACAGCATCCATACAGTTTCTGGAACAAGAACGTTCCGTCGGTGCTAGAATTCATCTTTCATCAAGTCAGTGCGGCGCGTATGCAGCAATGACAAAGAGGCACTGTTATTCCCCACGTGATTTAGAAAATTCACACGAGCCAGCACATACACGGCTGTTGACTGGAATCTAATCGAGCAGGGTAGTTTGAACCCAGGAGCTCAAAACAATACCCACACCAGGCTTGTCTGGCATTTGAAGCTGCCTCATCTTTGGACAAGAGCAATGGGAAAGTGCCGCCAGTGTCAGAGGTGTGGGATTGCAGGGTAACCACAGAGCTCGAAGCGAGAAGGACTCCAGTGTTCGGGCAAGTGCTGTCTTTTGATCGATAGGTAACAAAGTACGCACGTTGAGGCATGCCGGTCTCAGAGAGGATCAAGGGCTCTAGATAGAAATGTATGAACTGAGGTCGTCCACTTGGTTGAAGATGAACTTGTCGACTTGACCGTAGTGAAGCCCTGCGGTTGGGTATTAAAACTACAAGATAAATGCCTAGTGAAGCAAGATAGGGGATCACTAAGAATTAAGGGTTGAAACGGGGGGATAAAAGTGAAGTGGTAAGGTATCCATAAGAATGAAAAGGCCCAAGACGGGAAATAAGAAGACGGGAAGCCATGAGCAGTGGCATTCAAACCCAATCTATCCTACTCAACATAGCAGATAGGGCACCGTTGATTATGCTTTGTGATGGCCGGAGCATCAAGGAATTGTACGAAGAGAAGTCCGTTGCGTTACGTGGGCAAGATGCTGTCAGGTTGTCCAGTCCTAGATAAGAGAACGAGTAGGGTACTCAAGCAAGGCCTTTTGTTCAAAACCTTGAGGGGAAGGCAGCGGCATTTCGGTAGTGGGCTACAGAGACTCCGTCTTACAGAGTAAGAAGCCATCCTCACTCTAACCCCAAACGTGGAGAGACAGGAGGCTGAGTTTGTCTGGCCTTTAACCATTGTGCAATGTGATGAGTGACTCTGAAGGTGCAAAAAGCACCATCTGACATAGCTCAATGGATCGCTGAGACACATAAATCTCCGCACCACGTCTAAGGTCCGGTCTCGCTGCGATGGAGTGCGACACTACTCAAGTCGCATAAACCAAAGGGAATAGGCAAACTGTAAATCAGTTCAATGCAGTAGGTTGCCATCGATAGACGCAAGTGTGGTCGTTGGCGATTGAAATCTATCAAACTGTAAAACAACGCTGAACGGCACCCATTTTGGAGAAAAGAGATGTGGGTAGATGATAGACAAGCAAACTCATCTCAATGGTCAGTAAAGGAGTAACTGTAAGTAGATTCAGTCAAGTGAATAAACAACAGGCTATGCGAGGATAGACGAGGCGGTTAGCCTTGCATCGGTAAGACGAGTGACCACCGCATCCGCTCTAAACTTGCTACTTGTGAACTGACTGCAGTTATAGTGGTTATTTCAGGCAATGCCAAACTGTGAACCCTCGCAGAACAATCGTGAGTAGTCAAGACCATGTTACACAACCGGGTTGGGGCAGTTTGGCATAAAAAGGGCATCAGCAGTAAACCGGTACACAGTACTGACGCATCGCTGCCCCGCAATCATCACTGGTCGCAAGTAGGCTAAGGATACTGCGAGCGTCGCCCTGCCTCTACACAGGCTGAAACCCGCGCCGTCAGAGTACAAAACAAGCTCGTCACCATTAGGCTACGGGTCGGGATGCAGATCAATAACAGAACTGTTAAATAGTAGTACACTAATGAAAACACGTCCAATCAACCGACTAGGGGTAAACGGACGGATGTAATGCGCCGCACTTACCTCATGCTCTTCTTGATAGTGTGCCGAAATCGCCTCACGCCACTTGGATTGAATGCGAGACAATTCAGCTGAGTCCATTGTGAGAAAGTCGCAATAGGTGGAGCAACCGAGGCGAGGCAATATTCTATCGAAGCTAGGCCGACTAGCAGGAAGTGGAGACCAACAATCTGGGGGCCAGAATAAGGGGTCGAAACAACGAGAACGGGCGATAAAAACGAGGAGAAAATGGGCGAGAAACAAAGGGGCTCAAACACACACGTGCTTCAACGAAGTAACCTCGCTTGCATAGAATAGTTTTGCGAATTACATCGCTCGCTTTACGATATAAGAACAAACATACTAAAGAGGAAGACGCGGTGCTGAACGGAGGATTTGGGGAAAGAAAGGGACATAGGACTAGTGGAAAGAAGGTCAATCATATACAACCTACATCAGATAACGTTAGGCATGCGGGTCGGATGGATAACCTCGAATTGATGGGAGACAGCATACACGAAACAATGTGGCCACAGATGAAGCAGTCGTGAAAAAGACAGAACAGCAGTTGTGTCAGATAAAACGATAAGCCTTGGCTTCTCGACCTCGCTGAATTACCGAGAACTTAATGTGAACTAGTCAATTCGGTAAGCTAGCGCTCATGCTTTTGTTCACACATACCACCTACCGAGTTTGCTATCCTTAACCCAGCTCAACACTGTGCTGATTGTTACCGATGACTCATTCCCCTGGCGTTCCATATATCACCGTCCCTGTCCTCACAAACAGTAGCAGTGTCTAGACTTATTAATCTGTCCATTCCGCACTTCCATTGATTGGTCACTCAGAATGTGTGTGCCATTGCTCGAGATGCCTGTACGATCATATGGTCCTATGATCCCAGTGGATGATGAGCCAACCCCATAAGGTCGACACACATGTCACTGACGTTCACTTTGCTAGATCCATGTGTGTGCGGCCTCGTAACCCGTATCGATTGGACTGGGGGAGGACTCACTTAACTTCTGGAACTGTTTCTACCCCTTCGTCGTAAGGAGGAATATATTTGAGGTCTGTCTTTTATCCGGTGCACTACTGTTTGCCTAATAGCATCGCAATTTCTACCGGCTTTGACTTTTAGAAGAATCCGGTTAGTGCCGACCAGTTTCGGGTTTGGTGGATACGTTTGCGGTGGTATGCGTACAGTTCTGGCATAGACTCGTTGGATTTCCCGGTACTATACGCATTGCTCAAGTGTCCTAAGGGGTTTGTCGCTTAAAGTTACGATAGCAGGCCAATGATCTCAAGCGGATGGTAAAAAGTAGGTCAGTGAGATGGGCAACAGGGCAGTGATTTAAACTCATATACGGTATGAATGACTCTCCTGTTCTTGAATAACAGATGTACGATCGCTGCCCGAACTTTGTCTTGATTTCCGATGGGGTGCATAACAGAATGTAGGTAATATATATAATCGAGAGCAACCAAACAGTTGAACAAGTGTGGGAAGTCTGTACAGGCTGTTGACAGAAATAAAAGCGAGTAGAAGTGCTGTGAACAATCGGATGGGAACAGATTGTACACATAAAACAGAGGATTTAAAATCCTGCATTCACGAGCTGAACGGCAGGGCTGTGTAACCCTCCTAACAACAGTATGGTTGACGGCATCCGGTTTCGGATTTTCTTGTCACTGTGGCCAGCCACAGGACGACTGCGCCTACAGAGGGACCAAGGGCGGCTTGCGCTGCATCATCCACACACCCCATATCCAGTGTAAACCCGAAGGAATAAGACCGGGAGGCATGTGGATGGGAGCCACGTTTCATCAACGGAGCCGGCCCACACTCATTCACAGGCAAACACAAGCACTCTGTATTTGGGGAATCAAGCGCACACAATGCGGTGGCTGGACCGTAGTCCGCTCCACACTGAGTGCACGGAACCACTCTTCGAGCCTACCACGGCCACAAGGACCGTGCACCCCGTCCCCTCCAGCAACGACTATCTGTCTCCTGGAGCCAGTATGGGTGAGGTAGTGGGTAATAGACAGGTTGGCACCTTGTCAACATGCATATCAAGCGCAGCCACGCCGGGGATATCAAGAAACAGCCAAACACTTGAAACGACAATATCAAATAGAATAAATCGAAGGACACATATAAGCAAATTCCTGGGGAATGTGCGGAGGACAAGTATAGTGGGAGGTCCATGTGGTGACCATCACGGCCGAATATGGGAAAAAGCCACCCGCAACCCAGGAGAGCATTTTCCATGTGGCGACGTACCTTTGAGCAGCGTTTTGAATAATTCAGGTACGTCCTCGGGGATGTGCAATGTGTAGTTGAACATCGCAATGAGATACAATAGTCTGGGTTGCTCCACATTGCGAAAGGGGGTTTCCAAAGTTAACAACTCCCAGAGCACCACACCGTAGGACCATACATCGGATTTGAACGAAAATCCGGTCTGAAGAAGGAATTGCCATCGGGGTAAACAGATGAAAACACCATCAGAAAATGGCGATGGCAAATTGATCATGCATAGAACAGAAGTTTGGTGTCACCACGAACCCTATCAAGCGGTGCGACATTCATGTAAGCTACCGCCAATAAAAGCGTGGCGTATTGAAGCATGAGGTAATGCAGAAAGGGATGGGATAAGAATAAGATGATTTACCAGGGTTACTACATGCACCATTGGCTTCAGTAAAGATTTAGACCAAAGGTTAATTCAATAGAAATGCATTTCGAGGAACGTGTAGTGAGATAACGGAAGGTAGCAGCGCAGAATCAGTCATAGCAAAGCTTGCTTATGATGACAAAATAATTAACAGCTAAACAAGTCGCGACTCCGAGGGCCAGTCCTGTAGTGGACCATGAGCCGCGCTATATCGCTGATAGGAATCAGTCATGGTGTCGCACTGTCGCAATCAGTGGCTCAGGTCGCTGACCAGTAAGAGAAAGGTTATGGGTTCAAATCCAGCAAGTTACGGTGGATTAGTATTGCCGATGAGCACCAATAGAGCGAACTGGCCGTTTAATGTTTTTGTAAAAGTGTGATGACTGATCGGCTGATTCCGGCTGCAATACGCCCTTGCAGAGCACAGCTGCAGAATTGTTCCAAGTCCCCAGCCATATTCTTCGGGAGAATGACAAGGATGGGAAAAAGGCACCAGATAGGCAATTGGACGTTGTGTGAATTAAATCGATGGGGTGAAGACGATGAAGAGCCAAGTGGAAAGAACCGAAATGGGTCAAATCTTAGTAACCGGGAAAAGAAGGATCATTCCACACACTTAAATGACTGGGTACCCAATCGGAAAGATATCGAAGGAAAAAACGAGAGAGGAAATCTGGCTGGACGGTCATTTTGGTGCACTCGTTGTGTAAATGGATTACAACGTGTAATCTCTATGTGGGCCGTGATTCGCATTGAAGTGAACATCAGTCAATTCGATGAATAGGACTGTAGTTGAAGTAGATAACTATTTGGTGCTACCCGCCCGAAATCTGTCTTTCCTTCTCATACAACGAGTAAAGAAACGATCGTCAGTAGCAGGTAAGGGTAAAATGGCAGATGTCAGACGCCAAACATGCCTAAAGTTAACAATCCGCTGACCACCCACAGGAAGTGCCCAGGTTGTGACAAGCAAGCTCCGCACATGAGGAAAGGCACGGCAGGAAGAAAAAGCATCAGCAGTACGCCGGAACGCAGCACCGATGTTTCGCTGCCGCACAACCACCACCGGTCGCACGTAGGCTAAGGATACTGCGAGTCGCCATAGCACTAAGCAGGCTCGAAGTCGCGCCACAAGATTACAAGTCAAGTTCGTTACCACTAGGCCACGGGCCGGCAGCTCCGCACATGAGCTGAAAAAGTGTAGGTCGGGTGCTTTCCAGCAGAAGAATTCACCATGTGGACAGCATTAAGCAAACCTTATTTTCTGCAGTGCCGAAGTTTACCTTTTTTAGGGGGGGGGTTGTAGAATTAATACGAAGGTAAGCTTTGGGCTCAAAGAACGCTGGAGCCGGGTGGATAACCACGGACACATCCCAAGGTTGTTCGATAGAAGAATTCTGGTTCTATTCGGGTAAGCTGGAGTAACTACAACCCGGAAATAGAATACGAGCCCGATAGAGAAAAAGCGACGGACGACCGGAACGCTGAGTTTAGAGAAAACTAACGGTCCACTGGAAATAAGGAAAAAAGGAATCCAGTCAACTAAGGGAGCTGAGCCCATCAAGTCAGGATTTGAGCTGATGGACATAAGATAGACATTCGAATCCGCGTGTTAGGTAAATGATCGGTTTTTAGATTACAATGGCTTGGGTTCAAACAGGCAATGCTCGTAATTGGTGGATAATGAAAATGAGAGTAAGCTTAGATGGATAAAAATGTCGAGACCTGACGGCAGACTTCTGGTGCTGCATAGGCCACGGTGCCCAGTTTAGATTGTTGTGAAACCAATTCGGAGGATTGACAAGCCATGCCGAAATCGGTGATGACCAGAGTGCAATGACACAGCTCGGACTCGATGTAGGGACGAGAGAGAGGCTCGCGTGCCAGAACTGCATGGGAAAGAGAGGGAATTGATGAAGAGCAGAAGTTAGCCGAATGATGACTGCTAAATTTAAAACCAAACAGTGTGCATTCGGCAGAAGCGAATAACTTCACAAGTGATGAAACGTAACTGATAAGTGGAGGACTAGTGCAGCTAAGGGGATCGTGTTGTGCCTGGCGATTGCGAACAACAAAATCAGGCAGCAGAGGTCCCATCTTCATGGTAGACAACAGTACCGGTGGAGAAACATAATGACAATTGAGCGAAACGATGCTACAGACCACAATGACCGTTTGAGCTGATTTGCTCCACGAAGCGGCCTTAAGATTATTTTTCTAGAAGCCACCTCATTTAAACAACCGTCGGGTCCTCATCTCCGAACGAAGACAGGAGTCGCCTTAGGTGATTAACTAATGTAAGGTCACTTAGCCGGTAAACGTGCTAATGCGATCCTGACAATTTAGTAAGATTGAGAATAAAGGAAAAGGGAATACAAAAGTGACAATAGAGGCGTACCTACAAACTAAACCATTGATAAATGAAGAGTGATGAGGCAGTGAGTAGGAAAAGGCAGATCACTTACTGTTTGAAGATTTCAAGTCTCGATGAACTAAGTTCACCTCTGAATGAAGATAGGACATTCCAGTGGCGATCTGTAAAGCCCAATCGAGCAGTGTGGATGGACTCAGGGCGGGATGATCGGCGAGGATGTGATTCAATGGACCACCATGTGCAAATTCCATTACCAGTGCTGGGGAACTGCACACGCCCAGTTCGCACACGCCGTGAAATCGGACGATATTGCGATGCGAAAGAAGGCGCAAGTGAGACGCCTCCTTGTTCAACTAAAATGCAAAGAAGTGACTTACTCATAGAGGAAGTAATGTACAAAAAAATGCTTGCCTCCGTCTGATGAGGCAAATACGACAAGCATAACGATCGTGTTTGATCCGGACGCTGGACTGCGGTTAACGAAGGGAAAACCAGCGTTTAGTCAGCAGCTCGCCTCTAGCGTAATCCAGTTAATCCTAACCCACGACGAATAGTTGATAAAGCGCCGAGGGGATGGGATGGTGACTCACCTTGTGAAAAGTGCGTACGTGGCAAGAACAATGAGAGCTTTGTAAAAAGGTACAGTGGCAGTAAGGAAAAGATTGGTGTCTGGAAAGCGAAATTCGCAAATACAGCGTATTTTATAAGGGCCGAAAATCTCCCAAAAGACAGATGTGTTCCTGGAATAGTAAGATCTAATCCTTTAAGCAATTATCAGAAATAAACGGGCGGTAACGTCTAACACAAAAATGAAATCCTGCACTGCAGAACCGTGGATGCAAACGCATGCAAAGAATGAGATGAAAAACCCTGATTCACTGGATTGCGCACACATAAGCGTAATGTAGATGATATCAATAATGCTGCCTTTTCCAAATGATCACTAAAATTGGAACCTAAAGAAAAGAACGAGAAAAAGATGACAAGCATAAAATGTGAATGAAATACTGAGAATCACCATACGGCATATATATATATATACATATATATATATATATATATATCTACGGCGGGAAAGCCTATGGTACTCTGGAGCTGGTGGTCGCAAGATCCTGACACATGGTCTACCCACTGCTGCTACTGCTGTGCCATTGGCTCATGTCCTGGACGTCTCCTCGTGGCGACCGCGGGGTGGGAGTTGGGTTACGCACTTCTCCCTGCCAAGATCCAGGACACCAATCCGCATGCTTCGGTGAACTGACCATGTGCTAGACCCGCTGCCTTTCAGGTGTACATTTAATCGAAGCCTGGCTGAGGACCCGAGTCGTTCTCCTGTCAGGAGTGAGCGCTCTGCCAGTATCCTAGTCCTTCCTCTTCGGAGGTTAGGAAGTGGTCGATGGCTAACTTCCCGTAAAACCTAGCCATTGGAGACAACTGGTCTACGGGTTATAAGCTCACCGCTCGACTGACGTAGGTCACGAGCTCCACGCATTGTCTCTGACGGTGGAAGGGCACCTCCAGGTGCTCAATAATTTGCTACTGCCTGCCTCAAGCCAGGCAGCCTCTGGTCAAGTGGATGCAAACCCGCCAAAACCCACCTGCGTCTGGCCGTCGTCACAGGTACGTATCCTACTACGGTCGCGAAACATATATAAATCGTTCCAGTACCTCAAAGACTGCATGTGACAGCCGTCAAGCAGATCCCAATCTGTCTGCAATCACATTTCCGAGCTGGATCTGCTCCTCACTGCCTTGTGGGTCAGGCTATTGAGCCAAAGGCTTTGGGCAGAGTCCTTCAAGCAAACCTCCAAATCACCCACTGCCTTGTTGGTCAGGCTACTGAGTCAAAGGCTTTGAGTTGAGTCCCTCAAGTAAACCTCCGAAGCACATCTACCACCACGCCTGCGATTGCCCACCAATGCAATCGCATGCCTGCGCGCAAAGGACTCAACATCGGGTGCTGGAACGTGCGCACACTACTGGACCGGAACTCGAGTGAGCGCCCCGAGCGACGCACTGTACTCGGCGCGATGGAACTGGCGCGCTACCACATCGATATTGAGGCGCTCAGTGAAATCTGGCTCGCTGAGCAAGGTAAGTTGCATGAAGCAGGTGCTGGCTACACATTCTACTGGGTAGGCAACAAGGCCTCAGCACCACGTGATCATGGGGTCGGATTTACAATATCCGATCGCCTCCATGGCCAGCTGGTGGGTGAACCAACAGGCATCAGCGCGCGACTGATGACTGTTCGCCTACAACTCGGAAGAGGTAAGTTTGCCATCTTTATAAGCACGTACGGTCCGACCATGTGTTATCCTGATGACACGCCTGATCAATTCTACACTCAGCTATCCTCCGTGATACGGTCTGTGTCGAGGAACGACCGACTATTTCTTGTGGGTAATTTCAACGCGCGTTAGGCGTGATGCATTCGGGTGGACAGATGTTATCGGCCCGCATGACATTGGTTCAGCGAATGCGAACGGTGGCAGGCTGCTCTCACTGTGTGCCAATCCAGGCCTGACGATCACGAACACTCGGTTTGCACTGAGTGCGAGTCCAGGTTGCTATAGCAAACAGGACGCACCTACGGAGTGGTCACGCTCACTTGCTCGACTATGTCATCGTACATCAGCGTGATATGCGTGAAGTGCGTATGACACGTGTACTGCGTGGGGCTGATGTGGCACTGATCACAAATTGATGCGGACCAAACTGTACATATATTTTCGTAAATCGATGTATTGCACTCCCGCCGTGAATCGGTGTAAATTTAACCTTTTCTCCCTAGGTACTGTGGCGAAACGTGGGCTGCAGAAGGCGATGGCTGCACACCTGTGTGATGTGGAATGCATAGCCACAGTGGGCGACTTATGGCACTACATTCACGACCAGGTGATAGCTGCTTCCGAGGGGACCATCGGGCACGTAAACCTTAAGCGGCCCGATTGCTTTGATGGGAACAATGCGACGATTGGCGCGTTTGTGTCTGGAAAGAATGCAACATTTGCTGCACATGTCGCAGATTCTAGTGACTTGGATAATAAGAGTAAGTTTGCCGGAATTCGACGACAACTGGCCCGAGAGCTCCGTCGCATTAAAGATGCGTGGTGGACATAGAAGGCGAGGCAGATGAAATGCTATGCCGAACGCTCTAACATAAGGAATACTTCGACTCCTTAAAGGCGGTGTATAGACCGAGGTTGGAGTCGCTGAGAACGTTGCTCCATGGTAGTTCATGCGCTGAGTGCACACAGACTGCAGACATACTGCAGATCTGACGAACTCACTTTGACTGTCTCTTAAACAATCCTTCAGAGATTGACTGGCCTGCATTGAATGACATTAAATAGCGTGAAGTAAAGGTGAGTCTGGCGGACACACCGACACTAGATGAGACGCAGAGATCAACTGCTCAGCTGCGAAACGGCAAGTGTGCCGGTGCTGACGGGATCCCGCCTGAAGTATTGAGACACGGCGGACCCGCGTTGGTGAATGCGCTGCACTACTTGGTGCAACGCGTGTGGACTGAGGAGGAAATGCCTTCTGCGCTGAAGGATGTCCTTGTGCTACGACTGTACAAGGGCAAAGGAAGCGAGCAATGTGCGACGAATTGTATGGGCATGGTGATTGCCCGAATCCTGTTCAACCGCGTCGCCAGGCAGGGTGTGAGACCGAAAGTGGCGGAAGAGCAATGTGGATTCCGTTCGGGTTGCAGCACCATAGATATGGTGTTTGCGGCTCGTCAGTTGCAGGAGAAGTGCAGATAACGACACCAACCGTTGTATTCGCTGTTTGTTGATTTCACCAAGGCATTTGATACGGTGAACCGCGAGGCGTTGTGGTTGGCTTTGGGTAAGTTTGGCTGTCTGAGTAAATTCGTAAGCTTAATTGAATGTCTCCATAGCTGTTTGCTGACGATGGTGCAACTGAGTGCACAGACGTCGGATGACTTGGCAGGTGTCTCTGGTGTGAATAATAAAATAATAATAATGTGTCAGCTGTACGCCGTAACGGTGCTTCGCTGCCGCGCGACCACCACCAGTCGCGCGCGGGCTGAGTATACCGCGAGGACGCCCACCCCTACATGGATTCGAACCGGTGACCTTATGGTTGCAAAGCAGACGTGCAGACCACTCGGTCACCGGCCGAGCAAGCATGTGTCTTAGCTCCTGCCCCGTTCTTTACTTATCATCATGCCATAATGTTGTGTGCGTTTGATGCGGCTTGTGCTTACGGTGTTCATGTGAAGCACCGTATTGATGGTGGGTTGCTGAACATCCGTCGTTTTGGTGCGAGAACCCTAGTTTGTGAGACAACCATCCGTATGTTACTGTTTGCTGACGATTGTGCGTTGTTTGCGCACATCGCGGATGAGTTGCAGCATATGACTAGTGCAATGGCTTCGACAGCGGCAAAATTCAGGCTCACCATCAACACAAGCTGATAATGATGAGAACAAAAGTTGTTACCAGAGAAATCGCATTCCACAGTCAAAGTTGATTTAAACTTCACAATTTGTAGGCTGATTTCGGTAGCAGCGCATCTATCAAGGCTACTGTAGTCGCCATGAGAGGTACACAGGTCAAGTGTCTCGGACTCCTCCCAGTCAAAAAATAGGGGAGAAGGAAAGCGGGTGATGAACATGGAGCAGCGTCCATACTGAACTTTAGAAGAGTCGATCAAAGGCGTTAACGTGGAGAGTTTGTCCACAGTTAACTGTACCCAAACATCCACACAAATTCTCAATACCTGAACAGTGGTAGTTCCTCTAAAGTAGAGTTTATGACAAAACTGACTAGAAAGTGGATGAGACATTTTGGTCAGCCTCACCAACTGTCGATTAGAAGTCCGAAGGGGCGCAGTTGAAGCTGGCTCGAGCTGGATCATATCTTATCAAATACCCCTTATATTATAGGAGCAAATACGGATAACTATTTCGCACAGAACAAAAAGGGTTGAAAAAGGAAAACGGCTTCTGTATCTCCTAGCATTGAAAAAAACGTCATAGCGATTGATGCAGGTGCGAAATGGGCTCCATGTTTCCCCATTCTGACAGAAATATTTATTTATTCCTCATTCGCACTTATCTGGATGTCAAGTGGCGGACAAAATGCAAGCCAATAAACTTGTTACCAAGACTGTTAAGTCCTAACTATCGTGGCTGGTGAAAGCAGCACAAGTAGGTTTCGTGCACAGTTGCCACAGTCGAACGCCGCATTTGGTTGGGAGCCTCCTCACAGATACCCAACCAATAAGTCCATTATACCAGCAGACCATGCTGTCATCATACAGGGACGTTTGCTGATGAGACCGCGTCACCGTGCAGGTGCAGACGAAAAATAAGTTG